GATGAGTGCCCCTCTGAACCTGTCAAACCAAGCCCTAGGTGATTGTTTCAGTCCATACAGAGATTTTCTGAGTCTGCACACCTTTCCTTTACCAACATTTTCATAAAAGCCTACTGGAATGTCCATATATACCTCCTCCTGTAAATCACCATTGAGGAAAGCATTTTTGACATCAAGCTGGAACAAGGGCCATGAATAGGTGGTTGCTAGAGATAAAAGGATACAAATTGAACTCATCTTAGCTACTAGTGCAAAGGTTTCCAGATAATCAACACCATAGGTCTGAGTGTACCCTTTTGCTACCAACCTTGCCTTGTACCTCTCTATCCTGCCATCGGCCTTATACTTCACTGTGAATACCAATCGATATCCGACTGTCTCCTTGTCTAGGGGGAGATCAACTATTTCCCAAGTTTGGTTTTTTACCAAAGCATCCATCTCATCTTGCATGGTTGTTTTTCACTCAGGTTTGGAGAGAGCCACAGTAACATTTCTGGGTATAGACACAGAATCTAGGGAAGAAAGAAAAACACGGTAGGAGGGTGATAAGGCACTGTAGGAAAGATGGTGTGAAATGCAGTGGGTTGTACACTTTCTCTTCCCCTTACGAAGTGCACTGGGAAGATCAAGGTTAGTGGGATCAGTTGCAACAATGGTGTTAGGGGCAGAAACATTATCATCAGAAAACATAACAGGCTCAGGCTCAAGAGGAATACCTGGAGTTGTATCTTCTGAATCTGGAGTTTCAAAAGGACTGACAGAGAGTGGTGTGGGTTGAGGATGTGTGGAGTCAACCATCATCTGTCAGCGCTGATATTGCTGTGAGGTTGCCCGTAGTGGCTCAGGTAATTAAATTGGAGGTGCAGGTGCTGGCTGAACTGATGGAGGCACCATAGAAACAGGAAGAGGAACAGATTGTGAGTTCTCCCCAAAACTCTCCCCCTGAGGAGAACCACTCGAGAAGAAGAATGTGGATTCAAAAAAGGTAACATCCATAGTGACAAATCTGCTCCTCGACACTGTGTCATAACAGCAATACCCCTTTT